GTCGTTCCATCACTGCTACTTTCAGTGAATCCAGCTCTCTCTTGCCACTTTGATGGTGGAGGTAGATTGCCGCTGCTCTTGCGTAATGTGTTGCATAGGTCGTCAAACTGGCAATGGAACTGCGGAGACACAAGTCCAGTCTTCAGACTCAGAACCAATGCCACCTTCCTCGAGTGTCGTGGAGACATTCCGAGATAGATCCCTATTCTTGCCTTGTGCTCCCATTTGGGCATTGGCTTCCCTTGTTGCGCCGATCGTCCAGTACGTACACTGGAGATCCGAATGTGTGCACGTTCTTCACTTTTGGCTTGACATCGACTCCAGAAAACAGCTCAATTGGAGAGATGTGATCATTGCCTTTGAGGATTGGAGTTGCGTTCGCGATGTCATTCGCATACCTGACTGCGTATGGCCACAGGTGGGCTGTTATTGCGTTGGGCCACCTCTGTTTGGCGTGGAGGATCATGGTTCTGGCAGCTTCCTGCAGATCTCTGATCTTCTTTTCGGCTCGACCATTCATGTGATGGGCATTAACTGCCGCGTAGGTGATTGTCTGTCCACATCTGTGAACTTCCTCGACAAACGCCTTGCTCTCGAATATCCCATTGTCTCCATGGTAATGCTTGATCGTCACCCCAAATGTTCTGGCATACCTTTCGAATGCTCTCTTTGCCAGAATGGTCTGTTCCGCGGACGTGGACACCTGAAAGTGTACGTATGACAGGCCGCTGTAATGGTCCACAAACACCGTGCTTACGCTGTATCTCTTTCGTGTCAACAGTCCTCTCATCTGTCCGACAAGTCCTGGCGTGCGTCGATGAGATCAACTGGTCCACTCCAATCACGAATCCGGGAGCTGTAGCGTTGGGCACCATGTCTTTGTTCTGGTTGACTGGTGTTCTGGTCCGCCACGCCCTCTTGGTTGCCTTTCCAAACATACAGCTGGCGCACTTCGGCGCCCTTGCCTTGATCAGGGTTGCTGGCAGAGCTCCTCTCTGAGCCAGTTTGCGGATCCTTTCATAGGAGATGTGACCCAGTCGATAATGCCATGACAACATCTCCGTGCTTTCATCCTTGAAACGGGTGTAGTCATGCTCAACCACTGGTGCCTGGGCAATTTTGTTCAAGTCCTTTCCCATTTTGAAGGCGTCAGTGACCTTTTGTTGGAACTCGGTTGCCCGACTGCCGTGTTCCAGGATATCCCTTGGCAGATCTGGGTGAAGCCTTTCAATCTCATCATCCGAGTCGTCGCTGCATGACTCCTGAGACGTGACCGATCCATCGTCGTCGGTTACTGAGGCCGCTGGATAGCTCAGCAATTCTGTCTCATCTATCGCTGTGTTGGTTCTGTCGCTTGCCAGTGTTGGGGCAATCTCTAGGCAAAATGCGTACAGCTTCGAAAATGACGGTGCACTGCGAACCAGCGCGATGTTGCTGGTGGTTGACAACGGGATCACTCTTTTGAACCTTCTCTGTTTCCAGAAGAGTTCTACCGCATCCTCGTATGTTGCACACCAAGTCCCTCTTTTGTTGGGCAAATTGTCGTTTGATGCTCTCGCCCAATGCTGAGGAGAGAGTAGTCGATACGGGGTTGATGGGTTGAAGTACGTGTGTGGAATGACAAAGTGATGCACCTTTCCATCATCGTCTTCAATTGACCATCGAACGGTTCCCCGAAACGTGGCTGTCACGGATCCACCGATTCCTTGCACCTTGACACTGACCCTTTCGGGCTTGCCTATGAAGTCCTTCATGCAGTTGGTGATACACCTTGATGAGCAGTTGTCGATGGCTATCAACACTGAGTCTGCATCGTACTGGTGGTCCTCGGCGTTGCGATTCATGTCTCCAGACAGGGAGTACATGATCAACTGCATCACTACCAATGGGTTGCTCTCGTCACAGATAAAATCAAGCCCTCCTTTCAACACGAGAAGGAACCTGATGAAGAGCTGGAACACCGTGGGGCCGTGATCTGTGTCTGCTGGCTTGAGGTCCCAGAGTGTGGTTGGCGTACACGCCCTCTTGTACTTGTCGCATATACTTGCGTATGGTTCATCTGTCTCCGGATCTTGATCCAAGAATGGGTCGTCCTGATTGGACCGACGTCGTTCTGTCTGTGGCGCCCCGGACGATTCTCTGACTGACAATTGCGCCAACTGCGTCATCAACAGCAGGGTCCCGATCGTCCTCACTGACAAGTGAGTCGCAATCTGCAATGTCTTGCTGTAGGCTCTCCACAGGAGCGACTGCCTCCTCCTGAGTCTCTTCTGGACTTAAGGTGGTGGTTCGTTTGGTTGCAAACCCCACTTCAGTAAGGTTCTCGTCGTTGCCCCAAACACGAGCAATGCCGCCCTGAACTCGGTGCTGGCAAATGCATAAATTGTCGTGTCCACGGCGCTGGCTGCTGTTGCAGCTGTCATTCTTATGAACATATTCGTGGGTCCTTCGATCAGTACACTGAAGAACAGGAATGACATGGGGTGCTGGCATATTTCAGCGGTCCACCTGATGAGTCCGGAGGCGTTTTCGACTGCCAGGAACGTCATCATTTCGGTGAGATGAGCCTCTTCAGCGGCGTCATCGATCCTTCTTTCAATCATCATCCACCCACTTGAGAGATCCCTCCTAATGCCACTGATGGTGGCTAGGAATCGCGCTATGGCTATGGCTAAGAGCAGAGGCTGAAGGGCAAACGTAACAGAAAGTTGGTCACTATAGTGATTACAATACTCTACGATAATAGACAGGTATCCTCCACTCCATCGCCATCAGAGCTCCTCAACAGGAATGGGAAGGAGGGTGTTGGATCCTGCGTCTTCAATCGCGTTGGCGAGGGCTGCTGCTTCGGCGTCCCGATCATCAGCTTCGATCGCCTTGTTGGATGTCAGTGCTTCCTTCATCTTCTCACAGCCTGTGCGGTGGACAACTCCCTTGTTGTTGACCTCCAAGACCCACTTGGTCGTTTGGTGGTACGGGCAATAGATGTACTTCTTGCCATTGACTGTCTTCTGCTGGGGCTCTCCTTCCTTGGGTGCTACAAGTTTCCATGCATACTTGTCGTCATCCTTGCCTTGAACTGTCTTCTTTCCTTCTCCCGCTGCCTTGGCAGGAGGTGGTTTGGCGTTGGTCCTGCCACGAAGCTTGGTGACTTCTGCCTCGAGAGTCATGATCTCCATCTGTTCCTCGGACTTCTTCAGCCAGACCTTCCTGTCCTGCATGATCTTGTACTTCTCGAGTGCGATCATCATGAGGTTATCATGTCTTGGCAAGATGAGAGTTCCGTCCTCATATGAGTCTCTCTTGGATTCCATGTACTTGGCAAATGCGACGTCAGAGCAGTTGGCATATCCGTCAAACAAATTACCAATCATTGGCGGCACCTGTGCGCTCCTTGCTTGGAGTTGAGAGATGAGGTCGTCAACGATGGTGTTGAAGACTTCGATGTTGGACTTTGCTGCCTCCATGATATGTTCGAGGTTGTTGAGCTTCTTGGTTATGATCGTGACGGTTGTAATGGTCTCGACGGAAACCATCTTGATCAGCTGGTACAGCATACATGTACCGTCCTCCTTCATGATTGGGGGTGGTGCTGCTGCAGCGCCCTGTGCTGCGGCTGCCGCGTTCACGGTGTAGTCGACCTTGCGAGTCGCCAATCGGTCTGCTAGCTTGGACGTGACCGATGCCATGATAAGCTTGCGAAGGCAAACCGATGCTTGGTGGAGTCTACCCTGTTGTCTGAGGTAAGTTATCGCGTGATTGGTCACGTTGTCCTTCGACAGGCAGCCATGCTGGTTGGTGATGTTCCTAACTGTGCCATTGTCATCCATGATGAGGAGGATTCCAATCCACCCATATGACTCAGCTCTTTGGTAGATCTGACGTAGGAAGTCACGAAGAAGGTGCTCCTTTCCGTCGTACTTGACAGGGAATGGGGTGATGGAAGCCATGAAGATGCGAAGCCCTGTTGGTGAGGTAAAATCCCATGCGTTGTTTCCAGCACCAGCAGGGGTGACTGCGAATGGGACTGCTGCTGCAGGTTGCGGCTGTGGTCTGATGGCATCCAAAACGTTCTGGTTTTGGAGTGCTGCTGCTACTGCAGCTTGCACAATGGCGGTGATCTGGGCTGCGTCCATGATTGCTGGCTGTTGTTCTGCTTGCTGCCTTTCTCTCCGTCTCTGTATTCGGTCTCTTGTTCTTTGCAATTGCCTGCCTGCTTCTTGAATCTGATCAGCTCTTCTTGATGCTCTTTGTTCTCTCTCAGGAGGCTGCTGTTGCTCTTCAGAGCTTGAATCCGAAATCTTGTATGTGATTCCTTTGAGATATCGAATGGAATTGTGCTTGTGCTTGGTATCTAAAGAATTGCCGGCACTTGGGTCTATAGACCTATACTCACGAGGTGCTCCTAGACAATGTAAGTAAAGGAGCTGCTCGAAGCATGTAGCATAATGCGCAGAGGAAGCGTGAGGGTTTTTTGCTACATTGTGAGCTATTTTACTCTATCCTATACCTATTCTCAACTGTTTGCCTGTTCATATTTCAATCTCCATCAGTTGAGGCAGCACCACTGCTGTCAGGGTTGGAAGCATGCTGACCTTCTAGATTGTTCAGGATCTTATGATCTCTCACTATCTCACAGGCTACGGGTGAATGGATTCGAGGTGGGGGCAGCAGAGCAGTGAGGGGGGGGAGTCCGATAGCCAAGATCAAGCAGACCAACCGAAGAGAAGAGAAGGAGCGCAAGGATTACATGTACATACGGTAAAGGTACCAGGCACTGCTTGTTGATGAAGTCCTCATTCGGACTTCAGAGCAAGGTCCCAAGTTTGACCCAATCTCCCACAGCTTTGGAGGAATGATTACGAGTCAGTCACATTCGTCTCCATTGAATCGAATCAATCGAATGAAAAGAGAGAAGATACTTACCGGTAGCTGGAGCCCCCGTACGCGTTAGTTATGATAGAAGGCGCACGGCGACCAACAAGGCGACCAACAAGACGGCCACATTTGTAACCAAAGCAACGGTCGATTTTGGATTCTTGCGCTGAACTCTCAACAGCTCTTTCAACCATGATGCTACCAACCAAACTTGTGCTACCACTGTATCATTTGACCGTAGTGTTAGCGTCATGTGTTGTTGGGGGATCTTCAGAGGTTTTTTCCAAGCGACAGCTCGCGGCGGATGACAGTGACTACTGGCAACGATTCCTCGGAGGCATTAGTGATAGCCTACCCACGTCGCCACCAAAATCTCCTTTCCCAACTGCCATTCCCACTCGAGAAAGGACACCAGAACCCACTGCTGCTCCAACAAAGCTCCCTTCGTCTCCTGTGCCGAGTCCTAGACCGACTCGTCAGCCATCTCCACCTACAAGTACCACTCCCTCCAATGGGCTGAACTGTGAATCTGAAGTTTCGATTTCCTGCGTGAATCAAGATGGTGTGTCCTGCGATGAAATTGTGCCACCGCGATGGGAGTGTGATATGGGAAGGAAATTGCAAAGCCTCCGTTTCAGTCTGGAGTTTTGTTCCTGCGCTGACAGCATCAACACGCAAGAAGGGTTCCTCCTGGATTGCTATGATTTACTACCGTTCCCGTCGAGTGCCGACAACAGTGTCCGGGTTACCTGTGTAGCTGTAGCCGACAATGCTCTTCTTTTCTCAAGTACGATCCAAGATGGAGATGACGTACTCATAGCAGCAGAGGTATTAGATGGAGACTTCCTACCGGAAGAGACAAGTTGTTCAATCTTCACGAAAGATGGTCTTTTGATTCAATCATTCATCATCAACACCTCAGGGAACGTGGACTTGGCCCTGACAAACAAGTTCGCTAGCTTGTCCCTTCAAGCTTGCGATACTCAAGACTGTCGAATGGAAGCCAAATATTCGTTTGTCGTGTCCAATACGGGGATGGTACCCTTGACTGTCACCTCGTTGGAGCGGGCCCGGAACGGAGAACTGGAAAATCTCCTCCCAGATCTGGAGTCAACGCAACTAGCTCCTGGAGAGGTTGGACGGGTTGGTGAGGCAGAAACTGCAGATCTCTGTGAAGGTAAGAACGCGTAGTATCTTCGTATGTGACGAGCAAACGGAATGACATGATCCTTCTGACCGGTACAGTATCTATTGGCTCGAACCCATCCTATACCAGGGGAGGACTACTTCTTCACCGTTCTCAACTACATGGCAGTCACATCCAATGGAGATGGATGTGAAGGGGAAGCAGATTACTTTTTCCCCATATTGTTAGGATGTTTGGTCAATGTGCAGATCAAGTGCAAGTCCGAAGATGGCACCGAGTGCACCGAGCTGGAGACTTCCGCTGTGGGGAGTGCATGCCTTATGGAAGTAACCTACGAATATGAGATCGAAAACGTCGGGGCTGGTACCATGGACATCACCCTCATTGATCGCACCCGCAACAATGTAACCGTTTCACTCCTTGACTTTGTCCGTGTCACTTCCCTTGGTCCTGGCGAGATGACATTGATAGTAGAGAAAGAAACTATTGATCTCTGCGTCGAAGAGGAGGTTGCTACTCAGCTTAGAGCAGAAGCAGACCCTCCAAGCAGTGTTCTCTGCACCGATGATAGCACGTACACGTTTGCGACCAGAAGAATTCAATAGGCAGGTACCCGTATTTCTTGAGTCCTACCCAGATCTAATAAATAGATCTTACCCACAATCTGGTTTTACCGATGTGATCCATAGCGACGTCAAGTTCCGTTCTTTGCAATGAGACATCGTTGACTATCCTGAAAGGCGGCACCAATGAAACTTGTAGATAGTGGCTATCGGCGCTCCAAAGCACTACTAGCTAGTACCTCGTCTCGAACGGAGCTTCCTATTAATAGCTTGCCAGGGCTCTTTTCGAAGTTTATTAGTTATAAAAAAATCATGAAACCCACACTGGAAAATACTCCTTCTTCCCGAAACCAGTTTGGATTTCATGATTCTAATCAAATTAGGGATGGGGATTCGATTCTTAATCTTTCCATAATTTCGAACCATAGTCAGCCTCATTCGTCGCCAGAACTTGTTCGGCATAATTGGCATCATGCGAAACGTCTAAGTGATGGAGAGGAGGTATGGCATTTAGGTCCAGCGGCGATCCGTTGCTCTTGCATCCTACTGCTCGAATCATATACAATCGCTACAGTTCGGCTGGTGTTTAGCCAGCTTTCAGATGTTGGTTGAATGTTATCCGTTACGAATCCTTAGTGGAGGGAACTTAGGTTGTGTGTGTTCTGGATCTTAACGTTTTTCTCACACACATTTTGATTGTCTCGTCGTGTGCCACAAGGTACTGGTAGAATCAAAAACAAAAACATGATTGCGACAAGGTCGCTGACTTTGCTGCTCTTGGCAGCATGCGCTTTCAGTAGTAATGCCGAGCTCCGTAGAGGCAAAAAGGCTGAGAACGAGATTCAAAAGAAGCTAGCTGATGCCGACAAGAAAAAGATCTTCAAGGACGATGAGGGCTTTTGGAACCGTTTCGTTGAGGAGGTCACGACCAGTGTACCGCCTACACCTCGCCCCACCCCTCGCCCCACCCCTCGACCAACTCCTCGACCCACTCCTCGACCAACTCCACCTCCCATTACATGTGCCGGAGAGGTGAGTTCCCGCTTCACGGAATAATGGTGCTGGATTTTTGAAACCAATGACATCATGGTCCCTCACTGCGAATTTTCTTCTGCTTGTTGTTGTCTTCTTCCTCAACTAGGCAACCATTGAGTGTACGCATATGATGGAACCTGATGGTGGCGGTGAGATGGTCCCTGGACAAGCTTGTGAGGACATCGAGAGCCCTTTCGGAAACTGTGCTGTTGGAAGTTCCATTTGTGTTGCATCATTCATGATTGAATACTGCACCTGTGATGAGAGTGACAACTCCCAATCAGGAGCCTGCTCTGATGAAGGTACTCTCCCAAGTGATGGCCCCGCTCGGATTACATGCTCTGATTCCGATGATAACCTTCTGATTTCTGAGAACGTGGAAAATGGAGATTTGGTCACCATGGACAGCTGTCCGTCAGAGCTCCCAGATGAAATCACCTGTTCTGTTTTCTCAACCTCAGGGGAGCTGTTGCAAACATTTGTTATCAATACATCTGGACAAGTTGATCTGTTCCTCAAGGATAAATTCGGAAGCATGACACTTGTTTCATGCGATGACTTGGATTGCTGGGCAACTGTGAAGTACACCTACACTATTGCAAACACAGGTGAAATCCCATTGACAGTTACTGTGTTTGAGCGTGAACGAGATGAGGAAACAGTAAGCTTCTTGGGTGATATCAATACAGACATCCAGCCCGGAGACAGTCAGATGGCCATGGAAACAGAGGTTGTTGATATTTGCGAGTATTCTTGCATTCCTACGACTCTTGATTTTGAAAGCACTACTGAGGGTTGTGAAGATGATGATGAATACAAGTTTGAAGTCATTGTTGGTACTAGA